TTTTTTGCATTATTCTTGCGAAAGCCAAAAATCGAACGGAACCGAACCGAAATGAAATGAAGAAATCAATCGATTTACTGTTATGCATGTGCAGCAGGTGTGTGAGAGGGGAGCTTATGAAGCGACAAAACATAATTTCTATTGACACCCACACACACACACACAGAAACCAAACAAACACACACACACCACACCGCATTATAATTATTTTACAGTGCATTATTATATATTGCTGATTATCGTTAAATAAATTCACAATTTGAATTGAATATGTTGAATAAACTTGAATCCAAAAATAATATTTTACTTTTTCTAGAAGAAAAACTGAAAATGAAAAAAAAAAAAAAAGAAATATATTCATAAATTATAGATAGGAATATTACTAGAATTCCTATATGGATAGATCTATGGTCCTGTAGAAACTTCTAAGGCTGCATCAATATTTATTCTAAGGACAGGAAATTTTAAAAATCTAACATTTTATTTCATTTATTATTTAATTGCATATTATATTTCAATATCTTCGATCGTTCGAAATTGATTTATTTTTATTTTTATTAACATTTAGGGACTAACAAAAAGTTATTGTTAAACAGCAACACTAGAGGCCTCTGACCAGCTGCATTAGTGTATAGGGATTCATGTTGCTCATGAATTTGAGCTGCTCCTCAAAGCCGGGCTGCGTCTTCGAGATCCAATGACGATCCAAATAGTACTTGATATAGCTGGTGAACTCTTTCTCCGTGTAATTGCCAACGTGCACGGGCACAAATGGATCCAGATGCTCGAAGCCCTCCTTGCCAAGCAGATAGCGTGGCAAATAGGATTCCATGTAGCCTTCGGTCATGGCTATTTTGTCCACAGATAAAATGCACACGCCGTTCGTCCAGTCGTAGTTGGTTATATCCAGAAATGGCTGGGTGAGCGTTATGCGGTCTGGGGACACACGCTGCTTGTTGTCGGAGAAGATGCGCGTGATGGGATGGAAGAAGGCATTGTAGCCATCTATGGCCACCATTATCTTGCACTGGCCAGCAGTGGCCAGTTGCTTCAGTTCCGAGATTAGAGCCGCTGTTGTCTCCGATGCATACTTGATCCTCGCAATGCCATGCTCCACTAATTCGATTAAAGACGAGCCTGCTGGTGTGCTCTCACGCTTGCTCCACACATACTCCTTGCTGGTCTTTAGTTGCAGGCGTTCGAGCAGCTTCGAGTTCTGCGTCTTGAAATGCACCAGCCAGGCGGCGGCATCAAATGGTAGATCGATGAAGCCCTCTTGGCTGGCTGAGTTCGCTGACTCCTTGGGCCGTTTCATCCAGTTGGGCGCCCAGGGCACGTGCACCAGCAGAAAGTCGTTCAGCATGCCATAGTGCAAGACATGTGCCATGGACAGGGTTTTGCCAACACCATTGTCACCATACAGCACATAACGTACCACCGGTTTCGACAGATCAGCCCGCTTGATGTAATTCAGCAGCTCAAGGGCAGGAGAACGCACCATTAGGCAGGCCTCGGTGAAGGTTTTGATCTGTTGCTCGTATTGCTTTGGCAGGCCGCCGCCAGAGAAAATTTGCTTCTTCTCTTGCATGGGAATAGTGTAGAATTTGCCTATTTGTACCTCCGAGTGCTCACCAGGATTTCCCACACCTGTCCGAAACTCATTGACGACAGGCGGTGCGGTAGCGGCTTCTGCCGGCGCTGCATTTGTTGACATTTCGGCCTCCCGGCTGGCCACACGAGCAGCTAGCACATTGCGGGACAGGTGTGTGGAGACACGCGACAAGTTACCAAATTGTTTGCGAAACATTTTTATTAACAATTTGACATCCAAATCGAATTGGAGTGCAAGAGCGTGTATATTAAATAAGAGCTACAAATCAGCTGGAAATTATCGATTCCGATAACACTTGAATGCGATAGTCAGACATTTTTATGCGATAGTCGTATTTCTGCTTATTGCCAGTAACGTGTAAACGTGAGAGACCGTTAAATCATTTGAAATATTTATTTTAGTGAATAGCAAACCCCATGGGAAATTTAAATAATTTAAATTTAATTAAAATTGTTTTTGAATTACATTTCTATATATTTATGTAGATCATATGCCGAAAGTTTCATAAGATTACATTAAATCTATCGACATTAAAAAATAATAATATGTTTGGCCAATTAATTAATTACAACAGTTTTCTTATACGACTTCAGAGCCCGCAAGTTTTTTATTTATTTATATATTTTCATTGTTTCAAAACATTTAATTTTCTCAATTTTATGTAACTAGTAAAAGTGTGTCATGTCATTAGTTTTTAAATACATACGTACTATATAATTAAATGAGTTTTTTATTTCCTTTATATTTTTCAATATATCGAAATAGAAATTTTGGACCGTACCCAATGTGCTTTTTTCTTAGTTTGGTTCAGGTTAGTATTTAATCGGGCACTCTCGACTAGAGTATTTATACTTGTTATATTCTGTTATAAAATCAATTACTCTAATATCTAATCAAACAAACTTAGGTACGTTAGTGCCTGATAAGAGCGCACGAATATAAAATCAAATCATGTTTCCACCGTTGCTGCTGTCAGTTAGTGCTCTTTACTTAATTACCTTTACAAATATAATTTTCGGATATTCATTTCAATATGGCCAAATGCATCCAGCTGCCGTGCCCATTCATGAGGACGATATAAGTTGGAATTGTGACGAACGTTATGTAGAATACGACGACAAGATAATAAGTGAGGTGAATAGCTTGAGATGTGTGTACCTATTAACTTAACAACAAACATTCGGCATTCATGCATTCAAGGGCAACTTGAAATTTACAATAATTCTAATTTTGGTTTTCGATGAAACCCCATTGGATCCGGTTGCCATAACAGAGATCGTTCAAGGTGGCATCGGCAGCAATCACACGACATTGCGCTTGAGCTGCTATGCGTTGAGCGAGTCTGAGCCCAGGAGTGCCAAAATAAATATTCTCATATATGGAATAGTGATGGATTCATAGGAGCAATCCTTAAAAAGTTTTAGTTACAAGAGCTTCGCATTCGTGATATAGAAATTAAATAAACTAGACGTATGATAAAAATGTTCAACTTCCGTTATTTATTACATCAGTTAAACTGCCATCACACTTTTTGCCGTTATGTGATTTGGATTAATTTGAAAGGAATAGCCATCCGTGGGCAATTTGCTGCTTATGAAAGGCGATAGCAAAACCAGAAACATCCGTTCGCCAAAGACACATCGCAGATTGTAGGCGAGTCCGCAGTCGTACTTCGGTCCACGATCAAAGCGCACAGTCCCGTGCAACACATGCGGCAGATAATAGCGAAATGCCGTACAAGTTGAGTACAGTGCAAGCAACTTCCAGCTGAACACATTGAGGGTCACCAGCTCGAAGAGTGGAAAAGGACCGCAAATCAAATGTATGACCACCATGGTATAATTGTAGCTCAACATAAAGTATAAGTGATAGATCGTGGAGTAGACCGATCCGAAGGTGAATTGTATTACGAAGCACACAAAATAGCGTATAGTGTGATGCCCCACGCAGCTGCCCACAATGTTGCAGTGGTGATCGCGCCTCAGTATGCAGACGTCACAGAGCTTGCAGTGCCACGATCTGGGCGGCGCCAAGCGATCACAGGTCGTGCAATGCCTCCACTCCAAACGAGCTGCGTCGCCTTCAGGCGGCGGCTGGCACTGCTCATCTAGCAAATGAGATATAAATTGAGAAGAGTTTCTCATGCATTGTCAGCTGTCAGCTGTCACTCACAATCGACGCTTGTGTCGATCAACATGCCTGCCAGCATGTTGGCCTCGATGTTGAGGTTCAGGAATACGGCCAACACGATGTTGAAGTAGTACCAAAAGGAATATGGCTCGTGTAGAGCTGGCAGTATAAAAAATATGTCAAATACGAATGTCACCGGCAAGAGTATAAGTATACTCAGTGAAAGCAGAATCTCGAACCACGTTTTCGGATATGGCTTACTGCGAAATTTCATATTTGGGATCCACAATATTAAAAACAAAAATCTATAAACAAGCGTCAAACTGGAATGAAATTATGAATCCTGATATCATCAGATTACTCGAAACATGTTTGTTGACAAAAAATGTATAAACATATATGTGTGTGAATTTAGTAATTGTATTAAGCTTGTTTGTTAAAGTTTGAGGAAAAACGGTATTTTAATATAAGAGATATATT